TTTTTTTATTAAATTCTATATATAATAATCGTAATTGTTGCAGGGTGTACGAGACTGTCCCTATTTTGACTGGCCGGTATGCGAGGAGAGGGGAGACATGCTGCCATCGGATGCATCACTGACGAGCACAAGACAAACGACTTGCGAAACATCCTAAGGTACGTATTATACATTTACGATTTATGTTGTATGTCATTTTAAAACCTCGTTACATGGTCATTAAATCGGTGAATTGTCAACATGTTAGCTTGAAGTCCTCACTGAGTTGACACAGTCGATTGAGGAGGAGAGTCAGAGTTACCTGTGTGAACTGTTTGTTCCGGCCACATCAGACAATCAGATGCCCGATTCCATCGTTGATCGAGATATGGTATGTTCATTGAATATAATATGTTGATTATCGTTTTTATTTTTTAATTGAGTTATTCATTCGTGATGTTGATTTTTTGAGGAGTGCCATCCAGTATCACCTCCACCGATGAGATCACCTCCTACACATAATCATATTATTTCCACTGATGATATGTTCAACCTTCTGACTACATTTATGAGGGAGATGAGATGTGAAGTAGCGGACTTACGACGTGATGTCACGATGCTATGAGCTGAGTTAAGAGACCTACATACTGAGATCATCGCGATACGAGGTGACATAGCAGGCCTATGAGGGACTGACAACTATTGGGATGGAGCAAGCGACAGAGAGACTGGTGATCATCGGGATGGAGAGGGTGATGGAGGAGCAAGTCAAATGGGGTATGATAATCTGTCGTGGCCATCGAAAGTTGCATACGAGTCATTTTTTGAGTACATGACGGAGGGTATGGAGAGGCTCGACGAAAGCGGATGGGGTACCGACAGAGGTGGCGGACGAGGTACCGACGAAGGTGGAATGGGTATCGAAGAAGGCGGAAGGGAGTACTGAGATGGTACCAGAGGAGGTGGCGGAGGCCGGGGGGTACTAGATGACGTAGTATTCGTGTCGGAGGGGGCGACAGAGGTGAGGAAGGGTACGAAGCGTGCTATTGACGTACCACCGCAGGTGGTTGGTAAAAGGCCGAGATTGCCTTCACAGTCGAGGCAAAGAGAATGACGTTTTTGAACAGGACATTCCCCAATCTCTTCCGTGAGGTTGATCCGGTTAGGCACAAAACGTTCGACGAATGGTTCAAATCCCTTAAGCCCGAGTAAGTATTTTATGATTTTGCTAAAGTACATACGAGATCATCTATGTTTTTTATAACACTTCACTTTTTCATTTTTTTAGAGATAGCTATGAGATTAGGGAGAAGACGATTTTGAACACTAAGTAGTGGTTTGAAGATGTACTGATGAAGTCTGCTTGGCTCGCTGATGATGTAAGTGTATTCTCGTTATTATTTATTATATTTACATAATTTGTTGTTTTATTTAATTTAATGACCATCTCTTTTTTATTGGTGTTTTTATGTTAGCATATCGACATGGCTAGGGAAATGTTGCTCGATTGAGCTCGAAGACACCAGAGATCTTTTGACATTCTTGGCCGAGTCATCCTGAGCTCCGGGTTTGCACGTGCCATTGATATTGAGCATAGCTCACTCATACTCCAAGTGAATGGATATGTGGTACCCAAATACATGTTGGAGTGGGTCATTGGGCTAGAGCCGGCATATGGAAAGCCATAGATGGATTGTACACATATGTACATTCCAACGACCGCGAACTCACATTGCTTTGCAGTTGAGATCGTATTCACTAAATCAACTATCTATGTGTACGACTCCGACCATAGTTGTCTGACACAAGGTCAACCTGAGAAATACTGGAGTCGATGACTGTGATTATTCCCATGATGGCTAGATGCGATGATTCAAGTAAATGACAAATTAGCCATTGTACGGGACATGACGACAATGAGACAAAGAGCATCGTGGATTTACAAGTTCTTAATTTGAAAACTTAGTTTTTATCTATATGTTATCGAACTAATATATTATTCTTTAGTTGGAGGGGCGATTGTGCTATATTCGCAATAAAGTATATAGAATTTTTGAGCATTGGTCGTAAGGTTGATTGATAAGTGCAATTTTGTGCACTTATTCGGGGCCATTTTACTAGGTTTTTGTGTCATTTTATTATTGTATTTTACTTAACTTAGGTTACTTTTTTCCTATTTCAGTTTTGG